TTGATCCTGCTAGGCATGGTGGTGTACAATCCCAGCACTTGGGACAGCTGAAGCCTGGGCTACACAGGGAGACTTCATCTCAAAAACAAGGAGCTGGAAGTGTAGCTCTGTTGGTATATGGCAATCCACAGCATCGTATAAACCAGGTGTGGTGGTACATGCCTGGAATCTCTGCAATCAGGGGCAGAATCATTGTTGGCTACATAGTGAGTTGAGGCCAGCCTGTGAGACAAGAGGCACTATCACTAACAAACAAGCAAGCAAACAAACAAATATATGCAGCTGATATTAAGCACAGTTCCTATTAGGGTTGCTGCATCTATGGCGAGGCAGGCAGCTTGCCAACAAGTGCTGGAACAACTGGGCAGCTGTGTGCAAAAGACTGAAGTGAAATCTTTACCGCAGACTATATTTAAAAAGTTCAAAATGAATCGCAGACATAAATGTAATATCCAAAAGCAAAAAAAAAAAAAAAAAAAAAAAAAAAAAAAAAAATCAATGGGGAATAAAAACAGGAGTGAATGTCTATGACTTAATTAGGCAAAGATTTCCTGGAAATGACAAAATGTACATACAACAAAAGGAAAAATCGGGGTCCGGAGAGATGGCTCAGTGGTTATCAGCACCCACATGGTGGCTCAAACCACCTGTCACTCCACTTCCAAGGGCTCTGACACCTTCTGACCTCTGCAGGCACCATCTGTCCACATGGTGCACATGCATGCATACATCCATACATGCATGCAGGCAAAACACTGAAATACATGCAATAAAAAGAAACCCATAAGGATAAAAAAGAAAAACTGGATCTCATCACAATAAGCTGTCTGTGCATCAACTCCTAGCGTGGGAGAAAAGTGTCCAAGGAAGGGACCTGTTGAGGAACTTACAGCAGGTTGTAGAGAGAACTCATGACAAAAGCAAACCAGGTCTGGGGAAACAGCAGTCAGTGAAATGCTTGCAAACACTCAAGACAGCTTCTCTGTGCAGCCCTGGCTGTCCTGGATTCCCGCTGTAGACCAGGCTGGCCTCGAACTCACAGAGATCCCCCTGCCTCTGCTGAGATTAAAGGCATGCTCCACCAGTCCCAGCTACAAGGATTTATATTTAGGGGAAAAGTCTACTGTGGAAATGCTTACTTGTAATCCCAGAGCTGGGGAGGCAGAGATTGGAGGATCTCTGGGGATCAGTGGCTACCAGGCTAGCCTGTTGGGCAAGCTCCAGGCCAAAGAGAGAACCTGTCTCAAAATAGGGTGGACATTAGAACACTCATTCCATGTTCACCCCCGACAACATGCATATACACACACGCACACTCATACATACACACACACACAAATTAACTTTTAAATTGGCAAAGGATTTTTCATCCAGTTACTGATGGAAGCAGACGCTGAGATCCATAACTAACCACTAGGTCAAGCTCCCGGAGTCCGGTCAAAGAGAGCGAGAGGCAATAACATGAGCAAAGGGAAAACCCACAGACACAGCTGACCCAAGCTAGTGAGAGCTCACTAACCCCAGACATAGGACTGGACTGGACTCCCTGAATGCAAAGACAGTGGGTGGCTTGGGCAGTCTGTGGAGCACTGGCAGTAGGACTAGCATCTGTCCCTAGTGCATGAACTGGCTCTCTGGAGTCCATTTCCTATAGAGAGATACCTGGCTCAGCCAGCCCAGTCACAGCAGGGAGAGCCCTGATCAGGCCTCGGCATGATGATGGGACCACGGGCGACCATACCCTCTCTGAGGAGCAGGATGGAGGAGGTGGAGAGTGAGGGGAAGGTGGAGGAAGCAGGATGAGGGGAGGGAGAACTGGGATTCATATATAAAATTAAAAATAAAATAAAAATTTTTAAAAATTGGAAAAGGATTTAAATAGACATCTCACACACACACACACACACACACACATAACACACACACACACACACTCACACAGAGGACAAAAAGACATGAGAAGATTGCTCAGGGATTTTGGTCAGCATGGAAAAGCAAACCAAACCCACAAGGGTGAATTGCTTCACACCCAACAGGATGACTAGAATCACAGTACACCCGGGTAAGAAATGAAAGTCTCATATCCTTGATGGGATGGCAAGCAGTCCAGCTGCTTTGGAAAGAAGTGTACTGAAGTCCCAAGACATTTATTTGGTCATAAGATTAAGCAAAACAAAAAAAACGCATGTCTCTTGCTGAAGTTTATCTATTAAGGTTCACAGTAGGATTAATCACAATGGTCAAAATATGGAAGCGACTCAAAAGTATGCCAGCTGGTGAATGCATAAACTAAATCATGTATGTACCCATGGAGGGGATGGAATCGCATTTGACTACAGAAAGAAAACACTCATATACTCTACAGAATGTGAGTATTGATATCAGTTAATGCATATATGTATAAGTTCGTGTATATATGTGTGCGTGCGTGCGTGCGTGTGTGTGTGTGTGTGTGTGTGTGTGTGTGTGTGTGTGTACAGTATGCATGTATGTGCACATGCCCATGGGTAGACATGTAGAAGCCAGAGGTTGATTTCAGATGTCTTCCTCTACTGCTCCACACTCTATACCTTTGAGCCAGGGCCTCTCATTGAACTTGGGGCTCATCAGCGGGCCAGTAAGCTTGGTGATCCACTTGTCTCCATCCCCTAGCACTGGGGTTACAGGTGCATGCCGCCTCCCCCAGCTTTTTACGTGGGAGCTGGAGATCCAAACTCAGATCCTCCTCATGCCGTGCTGAAAGCATGTTATGGACTGCGGGGTGGGGGAGGTAGGGGGGTGGGGAGGTGGTGAATCCTGGATGCAGGATGCTAAGTGACAGCCTTCGAATGTGGTGCAGAATGGCATTCACATGTAATGTGCAGAGCAGGACAATTCCCCTGGGCAGATGGATGGGAGAATGGGGATGACCTGCTAGCAGTTACAATGCTCCTTAATGAAGTGGAGTTCTAATTAGCTAATGGCGACAATTTGTCCAAACCTATAATCATCTATGATCCCCTAAACTGTACACCTAATAAAAGGTCAACTTTACAAATGAGTCAGATCTCAGTAAAGCAAGGAATTCATGCCTGGTACTGTAAACCTGCTCACAAAATCATGGCCAGGGAGGATATAACCCTCCCATCCCGGGGGAGGGGGGTGTTAGGGCACTATTGTTACTTTGCCAAAAGGACAGACATGGTATTATACTTTCTAAATATTTCTGTATACACCCATAAGTTAATGTTGCCCTCAGCCTGAGTCTGGGAGCCTTCTATTTGCAGTGAGTGACAGTTTAATGCGGAGACTCATAACTGGTCAAGGTGACTAAGTGACTAGGTGAGCGCTTTGCCTTCCGTGGGACATCTGTATCACCTCTTCTAAGGCTCAAGGAATAGCAGGAGAGGGGCAGGAACTAAGACCTGGAGGATGGGGAGGAGAGAGACGAAATACTGTCTCCTGGATGTGACATGACTGCTGGACCCACAAGCTCACAGCAGTGGTGGCTAATTGCTTGAGACCTGCCCAAGACCCCACCCCTCCCTAAAGAGCCGTAAGTAGTTAATATCTGCTGAGTAGGGGAGTCCTATTCCCTGGTGTAGTCCCTGGTAAACTATCCTTGCTCAAGTAAATAACCCCTTACCCATGCTTGCACAGGCATCCCTTATGAAGTGCATGAACCACCATGCCCTTCATCTTTTAAAATTGATTCTAAGTACTCTAAGAGTAAACTGATCCAGAGAGATTCTTTCCTGGAAGTCACTCTGTAGACCAGGCTGCCCTTGAACTCAGAGATCCACCTGCCTCCCTAGTGCTGGGATCAAAGGCATGTGCCACCACCACCATCCAGCCAGAGAGTTTCATTTAGCCTTAAGGATGTTTGTTAAAACATCACTCAAAGCCTGGTGGTGCACACCTTTAATCCCAGCACTTGGGAGACAGGAGAAGGTGGATCTCTGAGAGTTCAAGGACAGCCTGGTCTACAGAGTGAGTTCCAGGACAGCCAAGGCTACTCAGAGAAGCCCTGTCTTGGAAAACAAACAAACATGTTGTTCAAAGAAGGAAACAAACACATATACAACAGTAGGACTCTGGAAGTGGATCTCTGTGAGTTTGAGGCCAGCCTGGTCTACAAAGCAAGTTCCAGGACATCCAGGACTACTGTTACACAGAGATACCCTGTCTCAAAAAACCAAGCAAGAATCAAAATCAACCAAACAAAAACCACAGTAGGACATGGGAGTCCAGATGTTTCTGGGATACTATCTGATCATAAAGAATGGAGTGGGGCGGGGAGCTAAGGGGGAGAGGCTCTGGGGGTGGGGGGGTCTAGAGAGTTGGCTAAGGGTAAGGGCACAGCCGCTCTTGCATTCGCATGGTCACTCACAACTATCTAACTCCAGCTCCAGGGGATCCCACTCTCTTTTGGCTTTCCAAAGGCACCAGGCACACATGCAGTGTCCCAGTATCCATGCAGGCAGAGCACCCACGCACATAAAATAATAGAATAAATATTTTTTTAAAGAGACAAAAGCAAGTTCGTCAGGGAAGTAGAAATTATATAATAAGGGCTGGAGAGATGGCTCAGCCCTTAAAGGCTAGGCTCACAACCCAAAAAATATAATAAAGGATGACTTTTAAAAGATGGAATAGGGTAAGGGGGACCACACCTTTAATCCCAATCCCCAAACTCATGATCAAAGTACGTTATGTAGTATTGTGAAAGAATAACCGTTTCAGAATACAGGTTGGGAAGGTGGCTCAGTGGTTAAGAGCACTTCCTGTTCTTGCAGAGGACCAGAGATCAGTCCCCAACACCCACACTGGAAGGCCCACAACTAACTGCCTGTAACTCCAGCTCTCAGGAGATCTGATGCCTCTGGCTTCTGAGGGCACCTGCACGTGTGCACAAACCCCTTCAGACACAGGTGAATACAAGATTAAAAAGAAAATAATCTTTAAAAACAGAATGGGGCTAATCATATGAGAAAAGGTATTCACTGTCAGCAAGAAGAAGCGTGTTCACTTGGGCAGCACATAAACTAACACTGGAATGAGATAGAGAAGATTAGCACGGCCCCTTCACAAAAAGGACAACACAAATGTGTGAGTTGTTCCACATTGGAAAGAAGGAAAGGAGGGGGGAGGGAGAGAGGGAGGGAGAGAGGCAGGCAGGCCTGGTCTACAAAGCAAGTTCCAGAACAGCCAAGGTTGCTACATAGAGAAACCCTGTCTTGAAAAACAAACAAAAACAGGCAACAAAAAAAGAAAGCTAACCCAGGAACAGTAGGCCTACGGCAGGTTGTGGTACTAGAACTATTCCTCACATTTCAAGACATTCGGCATCCCCAGCCTGCAGGGGGCACTAGCCAAGCAGTAGAATCCCCTGCACTGTGACAACCACACTCCAAGATGCAGAAGGGCACCGCCTTGGAACCCTGTGGGCAGCAATAGCATCCTTTTAAAGTTTCTTTTTTCTCACTGGCCTTTTTCTGACTTTTCTCCAAAGACTCTGTGACTTGGAAACAGCTCACTCGTTTGAAAAGGAGCAGACAAGACTGGTGATTTAGATCCCAGCCCCCCAGCCCACCCAACCTGTACTGCCTCGGCCAAGTTAGCTTGTGACAGTTATGTAAGGAAAGGGGGACTTAACATTATTACGTGGATGCCACAATTCTTTGAAAGTCACCAGTAACAGGAAGGGTTCAATTAACTGAGATTGTTGCAATCACTTTGATTCTGTTTCAAGTGCTTGTAATAGTTACAAGACTGCAGCATCCTACAATTCACAGGTCAAGTACTCAGCTGTTAACCAGCTTGTAATAAAACTGTAAAAGGAAAGACACCCCTATAATTTGGTTTCAACATAAGAGTTACCATGGCACAGCCTTGAGTATTAGGTTGAGAGGCGGCCAGAAGGCCAGGTAAGCAATTTGAATGACAGATGCTGGAAAATGGGGTTTGTTCTCCACTATTTCATAACGATCTATTTAGGTTTTTCGAGACAGGGTTTCTCCTGTAGCCCCGGCTATCCTGGAACTCAAGAGATCAGCCTGCCTCTGTTTCCTGAGTGCTGGGAGTAAAGGTGTGCTCCTTTAATGAAGGGTTATTTGTTTTTTTTGTTTTGATTTTTGTTTAAACAGGTACAGTTAGCTCTGTCCAACAAAGGCGGGTACAGACTGGGGAGATGGCTCAGTGGATAAAGAACCCTCTCCACAAACATAAGGACCCCAGTACCCATGAAAAACCCAGGTGTGGCGGAGCAGGACTATAATGCCAGGGTTTGAGCCAAGTGGATCCCATAGGCCCACCAAATGTCCGGGTTCCATGAGATTCCATCTCAGAAGCTAAGGTGGAGGGCTCGGAAGACGGCTCAAGGGACAAAGGTGTTTGCCACCAAGCCTGACAACTTGCTTTCAGTCCCAAGGACCCACATGGTTGTCTTCTGACCTCCACATGCCACTTCCCCCTCCCAAATAAAGGAGGAGGAGGGGAACAGAGGAGATACCCCCATGCTGTTCCCCAGCCTCCACAATGGATGAGGGAGTATACCCACACACACCCATGCACACCCGTACTGCGGGTGACTTTATTCACAAGCTTTGCTGTCTCTCTCGAAAAGCTCACTGCACTCCAAAGAGACCCGTGGCACCCATCAACCGTGGTTATTGCTAGTGGTGGGATGGCCGGTCCTTTATGCTTCTTTTGCTCTTATATTTTCTGGAAAATTACACAACAGAAGACTTGTGGGTTGTAACTCAGAAAACAATTAGTGGTGGTGGTCCAGGTCCACGCCACGGAAGCCCCAGCTCAGTTGCTTGAGCGGCTGTTTGCTTTGCCGAAGCAGGAGAGCTTGCCAACCCTTCACTCACACAGCAAATATTTGTTGAGCTCTTTAAGGCCAGGCCTTGAGCGGTGGCTCCGATACTTTGGGTCATTTATTAGGGCTGCAGATATCCTCAGGGCTGGCTGGGCCAACCACTTGGGAAATGAGCTAAGCCAACACTTTCCCAACTTTTGTGCAAGAAAACCACTTGGAAGCTGACTCCTTGGGTTTGGGATCTGAGACTGGAGCCGTCAAGCCCCCTAGCATCCTTACATAGGGTTCTCGGAGGGTCCCCAAGTCCTCAGCCATTCTACAGCAAGATCACCCTTCTCCCCCAGTTTTCTTTCATATGGGCTGGATTTCGATTCCACAAATGCTTCCTTGGGTCCGGAGATGGAACAGAAGGGAGACCTCGGCTAGACGACAGTGTAAGTCGAATCTCCTTAGGTAAAAGCAGAGACCAATAAAAGGGCAGGCATGAGTTTGAATCTCAGCTCCACCAAGGGTAAGCGTTACCCCTCCCCTCAGTTTCAGGAGCTTATTTGCAACTCCTTCACAAGGGAGCGTTGCAGGGACTCGGAGGGTTCTTCAGGACTTGACACCCTGGCAGAGGGCGAAGACAATAGACAGCGGCCTCCACCAGTTGTCAACAGAACTCCAGGCGGAAGGCCTGGCTTCCCAGGGAGAGAATGGACAAGCCCTGCCCCCTCCCAGGCACGTGCCCAGCCCCCACCAGGATGTGCTCCGGTAAGGTACAGAAACCCTTAGGTTCTCACAGAGGCTGAGACTCCCAGAATTTATTCAGGGAAATCTTGATTCATCTCAGTCAGACTACAGGAAGATAATTACGATAACGAAATTTTTCTTCCCTTTATAACTAACATTAGGGAAATTCTGAGAGCCGGGGGTGGGGTGGGGTGGGGGGTGGGGAGGTTGAGGCTCATGGGTAGAGGAGCATCGGCCTAGCTAGCATGTGACACTCTGGGTTCTAGCCCAGCACTGTGGAGGGATCAGTTTGAGAAAAGCTTTCTTTTCAGGGACTCGTGCACGTGTAGATCAGGTGAGGGAGGCCCTAGGTATTCCGGACACCCAAGATCAATGAACGCCCACCGAGTATCCGGCTCCCGGGACAGGCCGCCGTCCTCGAAAGAAAACATCAAGAGGGAAGCCTCCGGCAACAGACATCCCGAGGGTCACGACCGTCGGTCCCCAAAAGAGCCCAAGGAGAAAGAACCTGGATGTGAGTTTTGCACTTTACAAAGAAGTCGAGGCTGAGCTCAAGAGCATTCCCGGAGCCCGCGGGAAGACCGGAGCCAGCTCGGTGGGCGGAGCCGAAGGCGCGCGAGCTTGCCGGGTCCACCTGCCTCCCACCGCCCGGCCCGGCCCGGCCCGACACTCACGATCTCGGCCACAATCAGGAGCCCCGGCAGGGTGCGGAGGAACTCTCGGTCGTAGGCGAAGCTGCTGCTGGCGGTGGAAAAGTTCTCTGCGAAGGAGCTGGCGGTGGTGGTGACCGTGTGCGAGCGCGCGCGCTGCGATTCCTCCATCGTCGCGCCCGGAGTTGGCTCGGGTCCCCGGGGACCCAACCCCCACCCAGCGAGCTCCTTGGGCCCAGGGTCGCCGGCCAGGGATGGGGAATCGCGGCTGGCAGCTGGCGGGCGCGCCGGGGTGGCCTCCCGGGTCAGACCCGCGAGTGTCCCCACTTGTCGGCGCGCGCGCTCCGGAGCTCCGCGGGGACCCGGCAGCGGGATCGCTGGCAACCGGTGGCTGCGGGAGGCGGGGGAGGGGAGGGGAGAGGAGGGGCGTAGACGGGGCGGGCGGGGGGCGGGCACTTGGGGACCTCCCCTCGGGGGCGCCGCCGCGCGGTCACGGCACCTGTCGCCCGGGGGCCGAGAGCTCACAGGGGTGCAGGGACGCGCAAGGCAACGCTGAGAGGGAGCGTCACCTTCTAGTCGCACCTCTCCTAGCTCCGGCCGCTACCGGGCTCCTCCCACCCAGGGCCACCAGACTCGGACCTGCTAACTTCCACCTGGCCGGACTGGCAGCAGGGCCTCTTAAGGAAACCCAGGCCTCCAGGGACGCGGCGGCTCCCGGACTCAGCCAGCCGGGCGGATGGGGGAGGAAGGCTGGAACTGTGATCCAACCGGGCCTTAGACCCGGGATCGATACGAGGCCGCTTGGACAGTGGACAGTCCTTACCGGCTCCGCTGCAGCCGCCACCGAAGCCGGGTGCTGTTTCCTGCCCCTCCTGTCGGGAACAATTCGAGGAACCAACTTAATCGCTGTGCTGAGAGAATGAGATTCTTCCAGGCGCTCTCTACAACTCTGGCGCAGACTAGCTGGAGCACGGAGCGGAAGATGGAAGATTGGGAGACGGTCAGGGTCCCTGGTCAGCATGTAGCATTGTGACCGTCATCTTTAGACTTGGAGAGGAAGAGAAAACTTGTTCCCAACAAGCTTGAGACGGACCCTCTGTGTAAAGTGGTGTTTATGACAAGCGAGCCGTGCTTGCCTGGGGTGAGGGAGCAGAGAGCGGTGGGCATCGCCTTGAGTGGCAGTAGTGTGTCCGGTAGGGAATGCTGAGCTGAACCCTGGGTGCTGTGTAACTAGCATGAAGTTATTGGTTCTGCCTTGCTGGGCCTCACAATAGTGCCTTCTGTGTTTCAAAACAGAACAAGGTGGGAGCTTTGATGGGTGATGGACCGCTGGCCCTGTACCTGTCCCCTCCTGTTTTGTGAAGAGTGACAATAAACATTTATATGAACCCACCGAGTAGGGAGGGTATAATCTGGTCAAAATACAATTTTGAATTCAAAGTGAAGACGTAACAGGCTTAGAAAGTAGTCAGGTGTTTGTGTTTCTGTCGGGAGAGCCGAAAAGAAAGCACAAATGACCTACTAATAGAAGGAGTTTAAGCCTGGGTCCTCCCCAGGAAAAACTCTGGGGATGGAGTCTCAAAGACAGGCCAACAATTCTAGTGGGGCGGCTTATACCTGTAATCCCAGCACTAGGGGACCTGAGGCAGGAGGCTGGCCTAAAGCTACAGAATGGGACTCTGTCTCGAACAAGAGTCTGGGCTACAGAGTGAGACCAGTCTCCCCTTCTACCCCAATTTAAAAAAGAAAAAAGAAATTGAAGTTCTCTCTCTCTCTTTTTTTTTTTTTTTTTTTTTTTTTTTGAGACAAGATTTCTCTGTGTAGACCAGGCTGTCCTCAAAATCAGCGATCTGCCTGCCTCTGCCTCCTGAGTGCTGGGATTAAAGGTGTGTGCCACCACTGCCTGAACATTTGTTTTTCACTG